ACACGTTGCCCGCCGCCGCCGGTGACGCTTCGCCCGCCGCCGGTGACGCGTTGCCCGCCGCCGATGACGCGTTGCCCGCCGCTGGTGCAGGGTCGCCTGCCGCCGGTGACGCGTTGCCCGCCGCCGCAATCGACGCTGCGCCCTACGCCGCGCCCGACGTGCCGCCCGATGCCGAGACACCGAACTTTCAACAAACGACTTCTCTGCCCGCTGTTTCCCCTTGTAAAATTTCTTATAATTTTACTTATAATTTTAACAAGTGCGTTACTGGCTTTTTTGGAATTGGGAATTTGAGGATTGTAGGGGATTCGGGGATTAGGGAGACTGCAAGGGGAATTATTTTAAAAATATAGTTCATTTAAAAAGTGTGGGACAGCTATGCTTTGGCACAAATGGGCCGGCTCGACCGGAGTGATATCACAGCCTTATAGAAAACCGAGGTGAAACAGGTTGTGAGTGAGGTCACCGGAGGCCCAATCACCCCTCTCCCAGCTCCCCAATTTCCGAATCCCATCAATCCTTAAATTTCTAATCCCCAAAAGGTCGGTAACGCATACGCCGGTGTTACAAGTTGCAACACCTCTGGTGTTTGAGTAAATGGGCGGCGCCAATTTCTTACCATCAGTTGATCCGTCTGCTCGTTTACCGACTTATTCCACCAAAAACATACAATGACTTATGTGTTATCCAGTCTTTCGGCTCTTGGGCTCGCTATCATTGCAGCGGTAAGTCCCGTCTTTGAGGAGTGGCTTGAGAGACGCTACGGCGTCCTCACCTACCGCCTGACGCAGGTGCTTACCGGACACGAAGTTTCGGTTCTTGTTTCGGATAGAGCGGGAGGAACCGCCCGGGTGTCATCACTGCGAGGGCCGCCGGGAGGAGCAAATTTAGTTCCAGACTGGCAGCCCTACAATTGCGATTGCCCGCCAACCGACCGCGGAGCGCGCGGGTTAACCCGCTCCTGCTGGGGGCCGCGGCCGCTCGTGCTGCGGGAGCCGCAATCATACGCAACCGCCGCAGGCGTACAACGCGCCGTGAAATGTGCTTTAGTTTTTTACACACATTTCTGTATCTATTCTGTATCTATCAAAGGCTGCGGGGCCGCAACCACGGCGGGCGCCGGAGAAAATCGCTTCGTGAGTCCTTAGCCTGAGTACTTAGCCTTGGACTTACTAAGATTTATTCTAGTCACCATCATGTTGCTAAACATGTTGGAAATCGGTGAATATTGTCGCTAGACGAACAAAATTAATGGATCACGTCTCACTAAACAACGTGTCGGTGCATGGAGACAAGTAACATGCTGTGCAACATATTGCGTCGATGCTATATGAACTTAAGTTACATAATATATGACATAGAATTACTTTTTTATATTTTTCTGGAACTATTGGAACTTTACCAATCACCTGGTGTCATTTGAACGTGGACTTCAGGGACACTGTATATTATACACAGCTCCGCGGTCTGCGAACGGGGCCAGCGCGACGCCGCCCACCCGCAGCCAGCCGCCGCCGTCCAGCACGGAGCCAGCGCAGCCGGTGTCGTCGCAGCCGTCGGCGCGGCCCGCGTTCGAGTTCGAGCCCAACCGGCCCGACTTCAAGGTAAACGATCGCGGCCACAGCGAGACCTCTTCTCGGGCGCCGCAGTGCTGCGACCGGGTGTTTCTAGGGTGCACCCGAGCGAACCTCACGCGTGTACTTGAAGGCGGGCGAGTATGGCGAGAACGGCGCCGACTACGGCGGAGAGGACGCGCCGCCGCCGCCGAGCACGACGCCGGCCAGCACGGCGGCGGCGCCCAGCC